GGCAAAAGGGGTACTAGGAAGGTGTACCTAATAAACTGCCCGGTGAGTGTACAAATAACGCCCATACCAACTCTAGCAACATTTTAGCTGTCTTTTTCATTAATATTTCTTTTTTTTTTTTTTTTTTTTGTTATTTTTGGATATACGTTTTTACATTCTGATTCCAATGCCTAATTATCAAATTTTTAATATTTTTAAAATTTTCAAATGAAATATTCTTAATAATAAAATATAATATTTCCTTTGGAAGAGTGCACTTGCATTGTGATATTATTTAGTCATTCTGGCATCATATATTGTGCATTAAAATGGTTTTAAAATGACAACAATATCATTTATCGCAACATTTGTTGGTCCAATACAGCAACAGCAAACAACAAAAAAATAGATATTGTGACAGGCCTACGTAGGACAATCGCTAAACATTATAGACCCAATCTGCATCTGTATTCAACACCGCTCACAAAAACACATTGTAATTCTAGGTGTCATAAAGGGCCATAGAAGGCTCTGGTTAAAATCTATTCTGAAGATGCTGAAAGATCAAAGAAGCATATCCTTGCTTATCAATGGACACATTTATTAAACTGCAGGATGTCAAACGTTTGGCTGCCCTTCTCAAACTCTTAAATATTTGACAAAGCAACACTTTCACAAATCCTTGCTTTTCGGTAGTGATCTAAATATGCAGCCGCCCTAAAATATCAACATGTTTTGTCTGATGCATGTTTGCATGTGATTCATAATGGTCTCCAACAGGGCTTCCTCTCAGAATCCCAGATGTTCACTGTCCATCACACAATTTCCTCTCCAGACATTCATACATTCAAGATCATGACCAGCATGCTGGCGGATGCTAACATGTGGCCCACAACACATGTAGTCAATCCACAGCAAATCAGTTCACCTGACAGAAGCAGCCCAAAGCCACTACTTAGTTTCCATATAAAGATGCAAATTAGATTTATAAAACTGAAACATTTGCAGAAAAAAGCACCATTCCCATCCAGTGAGTCAAAGAGAACTTATGAGAACAAGAGTTACTTATGAAGGTATTGGGAGTGCAGATGCTCAAGACAGTTCTGGAGTTAATAATACTGAACTATGATGATGATGGACTTGATCATGGTCGCTCTGTTGCTTCCAAAGTATGTCTTAAAACACTGTTTTAAAACTTCATCTCCGAGGCCATCCCCAAAAATGCCCCGCAAATAGGCCTTTAGCCCAAAACCCAAACTTGAATTCTTGCACATGGCTAAGAAAACAACGCAGTAGCGCACTGCATGTGGAAAGAATCCGTCACACATGTCGAAGTTCAGACTAAAACAGACAAGCAGATGATCAACAGGAAATTAGAGAAAGAGTGACAATCCTGAAGTCTGGATTTACAGACACAGCACACCTGACCTCCAGCCGCAAGTGCTGAAAGACACACACACAAAAGGTCAAGCCTAAATTCTAGATGACAGAAGTGCTTGTGCAGATCAGTAAGTGAGTGCTCCTCGTGCAGGGTCCTGGCCAGAAGCACAAAGAACACACTGCAATGCTATTTCAAGCGCTGAGCTCATTCAACACTCTTGTCATGTTCTGCAGATCCTCTTGAAGCTTCACAGACAGTGTTAAGAAAATCGCTACAGGCACGTTGGAAAAATGCCTCTACTAACATGTTCCTATGCATACTTCATATTTAGGTGAAGGAACACCTCGGCATACATTTTTGCAAAACATTCATCATTCATTTATTTTCTTTTCAGCTTAGTGCATTATTTATCAGGGGTCGCCACCGCGGAACTAAACCGCCAGCTTATCTAGCATATGCTTTAATCCTGGTTTATACTTCTGCGTCAAGTGACCGGCGTAACCCACGGCGCATGCAACGTGCGTAGCTGTGCATTTATACTTCTGCGCGCTGTCTCTGTTGGCCTGCATTAACACTTCCGAAACGCTAGTTGGCAGTGAGGTGTAAATGTTCCTCTGTGTCGAGTTTCTTCGCTGCTTTTTTGCTTTTCCTGAACACTTCTGGGATGTAAAAGTGGCTCAAACTCGCTCATGTTGAGGCAGGAACCGGTGGACGTGCAACAACTTCAACTATGAGGTAAACACAAAACAAAACTTTCCATCCGGAGCTCCTTCACGGGACTCCACACTTGTAAACAATCGCTCCATCAGGCTCGCACCATTCGCGCGGCTCTCGGTCCCGCCCAGACTCGTCAGCGCTACCAAGTCGACCAATCACAGAGCTTGCAATACGCGTCGTTGCGACGTGTAGTTACATTTTTTGAGAGGTGCACGTCAGCGACGCCGACGGCCACGGCGAAGGGCTATGCGTCAGCGCCGTAGCATATGCCGGCGTTTGACGCAGAAGTATAAATCAGCCTTTACGCAGTGGATGAACTTCCAGCCGCAACTCGACACTGGGAAACATCCATACACTCTTGCATTCACACTCATTGCATTCACGCTTATTCAATTCACCTATAGCGCATGTCTTTGGACTGTGGGGGAAACCGGAGCACCTGTAGGAAACCTACGTGAACACGGGCACATGCAAACAGAACATGCCAACTGACCCAGCCGGGGCTCGAACCAGTGACCTTCTTGCTGTGAGGCGATCGTGCTACCCCCTGCACCACCGTGACACCATTATTTTGTAAAACATTAAAAGAAAACGCCTAAGAAACAATGACATGTTTTATTAATTCAATGTATGGTATGCATAAATTAATAAAATATATACATATTTAAATTTTCTTGATTCATTTCATTAATTTCTTGCATACTGAATTTGCAAAACATGTCACTGCTTGACTTAAATTAAAATAATTTAAAGCTAGACCTTAATTTATATTGTATATTCATTCAGAGTTATGTGGATAAAATATATATATGTCAGAATTATTAGCCCCCTTAAATTTTTTTTTCTTTTTTAAATATTTTCCAAATGATGTTTAACAGATCAATGAAATTTTCACAGTATGTCTGATTGTATATATTTTTTTTCTTCTGGAGAAAGTCTTATTTGTTTTATTTAGAATAAAAGCAGTTTTTATTTTTTTAAAAAACATTTTAAGGTCAAAATTATTAGCCCCTTTAAGCTATATATATATATATATATATATATATATATATATATATATATATATATATATATATATATATATATATATATATATATATATATATATATATAGTTAAATCTCTTAATTACTTAATTACTAAGTTACCTTTCAAAGTATTTAGAAAATAAATTTAAATACAATTTTAATGAAGTCATTAGTAATTATTACTTTTTGAAGCCACTTAGCCAACACTATTTACATGTGTATAAATAATAATATAATCCATAAACAATGTATGTTTTAAATAATTAGAAATATATTGCTTACATGAATGAACAATATTCGTGCTTAACAGAAGGACAAAGAAAAAAGGCCAATCCTAATAATGTTTTTGTAATATTAATGACAAATAACATAATTGGATGAACGCAAAAAGCATCTGTATGAGTATATATAACTAAGTTAAGAGCTGATCATTGTATATTCTGGTAGGACCGAGTCTACTGGGGATCATTTATGTGACAGAACAGTTCATACTTCAGCAAGTCCTCTAAAGGGAACTTCTGTTGTATTTTTATAGCCTGTCACATTTGTTACAAGACATTCTCCTCAGATTGCTCACTGTAACCTCACACAACCTGAAAAACCTGCTCAATCTGTGCACGGTGAAACCGAGGGGCTGAACGGACACGTGTGATGACTGAACCAAGTGATCTTAAAGGACTGCTTCTGAAGAATGGGATTAATGCACTCCCTCTAACAGCTGTAAACGAATCATTCCAATGAAGGGTCATTTTTAACACTCAACACCAGCTTTTAAAACTCAAGAGAGAAAGAATGAGCAGGACGGTTTTCGTTTCGTCATGAACAGGCTGGTTTTTGGAGTTATTCTTAAAGACTTAAAGCTCATTAACCTACATGAAGTACAGAGACGTGCCCAGTATTACATGACGGCTTTACAACTATTTTTCTTGACACACATTTACACTTACAAATCAATGATTCAAACTCAAACCAGCTTATTCTAGAATCACAAGCAGTTGTTTTTTCTAAATCTAAATGAAATCAAGTAGATTACGACAAAAATGGTTTATATAAGGTCAGCATAGTAATAGTTTATGTCAAAAAAAAAAACTTGTCGGGCACATTTAAAGGAAAAAAGTTATTGGAAGAAATTTTAAAAGACTTAATTTAAGGATCAGTGCAGAACTAAAATACTTAATTGCCATTTTAAATCTTGTTTGCCAACAATAAACTGCTTGTTTATTAATAAATTGCTTGTCTGTCAGCAATAAACACTTTTTCTTTTCTATATTTTGACAAGTACAGGTAAAACTGTATGTTGTTTCATTTTCATCTAATTGTATTCATCCGAATGAACATGAAACAGTGTTTCACCAATATTTAGAGATTTTTTTCCCTCCACAAATGTTATTTTAATTAAAGTAAGGGTTTCACTTACTCTTAATATTCTTCTATGTGAGTAAAACCAATTGAGCACAATTAACTTCGATACAACACCAAAATGTGACGTCAGAGATACAAACCAAAACAAAAAGGTTAATCAAAATAAACTCTTGAAAAAAAACTATGCTAGATAAAAACTAAAAAGCCATATTTGACTTTATTTAAAGCACACACTTTAAATTATTTGGAGACTCTTGGGGCATAATCCTGTGTTAGGTTATAAAAAAAGCTTGCTCCGCTGAATAAGTAGTACAAACTTTCTCATACTCATCGACTGCTGATACTCGTGCATGTGTGTATGAAATATCAATAATGCGTTTTCGTCGGTGAACTCACGTGTGTGAGCGCGCAAAGCAAGATCACTGTAGAAGCTCCGAAAAAATGCCAAAAATGAGAATGATGTAAAAACTGCAGGCAGCGCGAGCGCAGAGCCTGTATGAGACAAAGGAGCGCAATAAGAGTTTTTCAACTTACCTTAAACGCAAAGCTCTGCTCTGCTGCGCGCAAAGGGGAGATTTCAGGCTTTATCGCAGGAGCTCATTTACAAAAGCAAACCGCGCTGATGTTTTTGAAGAAATATTTCTCCTGATTTGACAGTAAAGCTGGAATGTGAAGTATGACTTCGGTATGAAATCACGGCGAACTCGAGCGGAGCGCTGGAGGAGGAGTCAATCGAGGAGGAGGAGGACAAACCTCCACCCGCTCCAACTTCACCAGCAAACCACAGACGAGATGCGCTCAGCGGCTCCGCGTGTGTGTGCCCGCGCGTGCGTGTTTTTGGGACATATTAGAAAACCAATGTGTATAATCACATGGGCATTATCAAGGTATTACAAGGAGATTGTGAATTCTGACATGCTGGTTTCCCCATTTCTCCAAAGGCGTATCTGAATTGTTTGTACACAGTTCCCTCAGGCTTGACTAAATTAGGATATCTAGGCAGGTTAGGGTAATTAGGCAAGTTATTGTATAACAATGGTTTGTTTTCTAGACTATCGAGAACATATTTTGCTTAAAGGGGCTAATAATTTGACCTTAAAATGGTTTTCAAACAATTTAGAACTGTTTTCATTCTAGCCGAAATAAAACAAATAAGACTTTCTCCAAAAGAAAAAAATATATATATACAATCAGACATACTGTGAAAATGTTCTTGCTCTGTTAAACATCATTTGGGAAATATAAAAAATAAATAAATAAATCAAAGGGGGCTAATAATTCAGACTTCAACCGTATATAAAGTATATTTTATAATATATATCCAATTTAAGTCTAATTTAAGTGATCACAAACTTCAAAATAATTTGCAATAGTAGTTGTTTCCAAACAGGTTTCCCATATCCTATTCTCTAATAGATGGTCAAACAGATAACTCTGGCCCACTGGCTGATGTGAATAGTGACTTTTTTTCTTTTCCTTTTTTTTTAATAGTGCACCGTTTTCAACTCAAAGGAGGAATTAAAAGTGTCAAACTCATATATATATATATATATATATATATATATATATATATATATATATATATATATATATATATATATATATATATATATATATATATTTTTTTTTTTTTTTTTTTACAGAATTTAGACTGAAAAAAATGTGTCGTTTTAACTTTTTATTTCAATATTAATTCTGAAGAGGAAGAGTTTACTGAACACATTCATACATGTGGCGTATTAAATTTATGAAGCCTTGTTGAAACAGCACCACCCCAAGGACAACTTCACCAATTCATCATAGAAATGAATCAAAGAAAAAGTTCATGGTTAGCAGAGGAAATGGTACTGTAAAATAGGTCGTAACCAAAAAATAGTACACATATAAATTATTTTTGAATAATTTATATATTTCTGATCATTTTAAATAAGTGAGAAAAGAATAACGCTTGCATTAAGCCATGTTTTACAGCATCACAATGTCTCATAAGATCTTTTATGCATTCGTGTTGTTTTCATGAAGAAAAAAAGGTAACACTTTGCAATAAGGTTCATTAGTTAATGCATTTACTAACATGAACTAATCATGAACAACACATGTACAGCATTTATTAATCATAATTGAACATTTTCTAATGCATTATTAACATTTAAGTCCATGCTTGTTAACATTAGTTAATGCACCATGAGTTAACATGAGCTAACAATGAACAACTGTATTTTAATTAACTAACGTTTACTAACATGAATAAATACTGTAGTAAATGTATTGTTCATTGTTTGTTTATATTAGTAAATGCATTACTTACAGTTTTTCTCAGTCGCTTTGGTACGTTTCTCACAACACCAGTGCATTTCTGCACAACAGTTAATTCATTTCTCAAAACAATTAGTACAAACTGCAAAACCAAGCTGATAACCTACAAAAGCGCGTCACATGCTCAAAATGGATAGTTCATTCCTCAAAAGCAAGTATTGATGTCAATCAAAGAGTCAGTGTCATCAAAATGAAAAGTCCTGACACCATTGTTTATGAACAAGATAGTCAAATGGCTTTGTCATGTTTTCATTATGTCAGTTTAATCTGTACACTTTTTCAATGCAAAAAGTCAGATTTTGGAAAAACTTCGTGAAAATGCTCAAGATAGTACTATATACTATTTGCACAGCCATTTGAAAACTACAGTAAAGTTGGACATCACTGCATTTAGTGAGTGTATCTAGTACAAAACACTGAATATGTATGTTTCACATTTTTCCTGCATTTGCTCTTTACAATTTGAATTTTTTCACAGCATTGTGCAGAAGAATAAATACACCCTTATTTACAACAAATATAAACTTTCTTTGGGTTGAACTGTGCACAACTGTAAACAATATTGCAGTACATATTGGAACTCAACCAACATACATACACAGGTCTTTACAGTTTTTCTTGTTTGCTTTGACCTGGTTAAAGAAACTAGGTTCCACTTCATTTTCCTTTTCACTATCCCAGCAGAGCAAAAGACCGGTCTTGCAAATGTGTAAACTCTTTCTCATTGGGTTGACACATTTTCCCCACCATTTTTCAAAACAGCTAACACGGATGTCATTCAAACAGTCCAAACTCCATTGTTTTAGTTATGGTAACCAAACAGAAACCATCTATTCCTAACTATTAGAAACTACCAACATCAATATGAATTCAGTGAAGCACCAGTTTGACACTCCTTTACACAAATCTTCAATAAGCAATCAGTCTGCAAACCTTATAAAACGGTGGAAGCTCTGTGTTGTTCTGTGACAGCATGGATGGAGGAGGTCAATAGTGGCTATGTCTTATACTCCCAATAGGTTTGACTGTATATTGGTTTACATGTGTTTCTCTAATATTTACAGTATTTTATTACTTTTGACTGTTTTTACAGTATTTCAGTTTTCAGCCACTGTTTGAAAATTGTCATGAATTCAATGTAAATGTAATCAAAGCATTTCGTATTCTGGATTCAATTCTTTGCAAAAAGGCAAATTTGACAGCCCAAATAGAAAGACAACAAACGGCATTGGCAATAGGCTACAATGACAAGCAATGGTGGTGCACTGAGTTCTGTATTTTGTATTTTGTTGTCCATTGTGTAATGATTAATTGAAAGAGCTCATTGTTTGCAAGTTGTGTTGTTTGAAGGTAAAACTAGCTTTTGTTGCATATTTTAAATGTTTTGACACGATATGTGCCTTTTGCAAGCAAAATGTGTCATTTTGACCATGAGTGCCGCTGTTTAGGCCTGTGTGTTAACTGTTTTGAAAATGTGGAGTTTCAGTTGACAACTACATCCAAGCAATCGAGAAAAACTGTAAATCATTCATGAAACTGTTTAATTTAGAAGACATTTTCAGTAAAATAAAGATTTAAACATTTTTTTATAAAATTAGCTTGCAAGATTTTGACAACTAGTTCAACATTTTTGTATATAATGACTCAAGTAATGAAATAAAGACTATTAGTTTTATATGGAATGACTATTCGGCATTTACAAGTTTAGTTCATTTTGACTGACAGGACATAAGCAGATGATAATGTTATAAACAGCAGAGAGTTGTATGAAAGCAATTGATGCATGTCCGAAAGCATTTGCAATTTGCTGAAAGGAATGAGAAACTGCTTCTAGGATGGGCACAAATGACTAATTGTTTTGAGAAATGCATGACCTGTCGTGCAAATGTAAATAGTGTAGTGAGAAATGCACCAAAGCGACTGAGAAAAACTGTAATATTAACTAATGAACCTTATTGTAAAGTGTGACCGAAAAAAAAAAATAATTTCCTTGATTTTTTTTAAAAATGCGTGGTCAAAAAAACATCATAACAAAACAGAAGAATATACAGAAAGGCATTTTCATTTTTTTAAATAACTTAAATGCACACTCATGTATGTTTTCATATATTTCACACCACAGAACATTGTCATATCATTGACAATCGAAACATATTGCGCACTAATCATTTACTTTTGATGTAAAAAAAAGAAAACCTGAACACATAAATCTCAATACAAACCAAGATAAAGTCAAACATTCATTTTATGTAACCTGCGTTTACCACATCTATGCAGCACATGTGTGCATGTGCAATGCCTATGTTCATCACATTCAGGCACAGTGAACCTCCCCAAAAATGTCCCACATCATCAAAATTTCCTTGTTACATAGAAACTCCAGTTCGTAAATTTTGTATCTTGTGTTCATTCACAGGCCAATTTGCCATCAAAGCTGGACAGAGCAATAGCAAACGCCTGCACCGCACACATGGGGTAATTATAGTCCAGAGTGAACATGTCATCTGCCACTCTCCCGAACTGCATCACGATGTAGCTGTCTGAAAAAGAGAGAGTTTGCTTTATTATCTTCATTGTCACAACACACAAAAAAGACAACACGCAACATCAATGACACTATAAACATTCCCGGATAGCATACGAATGTGGGCCACTTTAGGCAGTTATGCGACACTGGTGGTATTGCTTCGGCCTAGACAAAATGAATGTGAGCCTAAAGTGGCCCACTTGTACAATGGCAAAGGGAGGCCTTTTGACAGTGGAAACGGTGATAAAAGCGTACCGAACTTAACTGTACCGTACCACTCAGTGGAAACGTGCCATAAGAATATAAGCCGTATCACTCACTGTCTTTGCTGTGAACAATCTGGAAGTTCTTGACTGAGGCCTGCGTGACTCGACCGGAGAAGTTGAGCACATATGAAGCCGTGTCGTCATTCCAAACTGGTGTTTTGTTGTGGAGTTCAATCAGGTTGTCCATCTGTCTGTTTTGGTAGCGCACAAGTATACTGTCGTTCTCCTAAAAGTAAAATAAATAAATAAATAAATAAAAAATGGTAAGCTCCTTACTTTTAATATGTTTTTTCTTTTTTTATCAAAAGTCAAGTTTCATACCATCCTGATTATTAAAGATTTTATAGGTACATATTATTATAAACGTTTTATCAATGGCTTTAAAGGGAAAGTTCAACTGATGCTAAAAATGATATCTAATTATAATTAAATAATTATAAAATAATTCCCCCATATTTCCTGAATCTTTTAATTCAAAAAAATTTAAATTTAAATTTTTTTTTTTTAAATTTAAAAGTTATGCACCGTTGACTGTGAAATGTATAAAAATTCCTTCTGTTTTAATTGTGTTTTCCATACTGTTGAAACTTTTTCTGATTGGGTTTGTAGTTAGTAGTTTCAACTGAAAATGGGTTGTAATCAACTTTCTGTTACATTTCAGAATTCAAATATATAACGGTAACTCACAGTACGTGGACGTATCGGCACTCGCTCATTTTCGTCATCCATGCCCGGGATGACCACTGACATTTTTCTGGGCCCTTTAAACCCCAACACATTTGTCTCCTGCACACAAACACAAGCATCTTCTGTGAAACAGATTGTCAGTTTACCTCCACGTTAACTGTTGCGCAGTAGAAGTGAGCACTCACATAAATGATAGCCACCAGCTCCTGCCGGGCGT